TCTTGTGGCTCTCACTTTTTTAATCAAATTCCCTTTGGCGTTTATTATCATAGAGTTTTTCTATAACATGCTAATGGTTAACTAGTTGCATTTGGCATTTGAGCCTATCCATCTTTCAGCTTCTTTTTACCTGTATTTTGCTTAGTAGCTATCTAATTAGCTTCCTCTGTCCTTGGCTTTGAATTTCACTTTCATTCTAGCCTTAAAATGCTTCATTCTTGGATGAATTACTAATAATTAAATCGAGTACTGTTTCAACTCTACTGTTGTTGTCTCTTCATTAAAGTTTTGTTTGTGACTGTTAGATTTCGATATGCAATTGTGCATATGTTCGGTTTTCCTAAATTCGGATTATTGAAAGGTTGGCTTTATTTAAGCAATTTGCCCGTATATTATATTTCCTATATATTTTTTTCCTTATCAGGTAGCTGAGGGTCGTCTGAAGATCATCCCAGAGTTTCACAAGCGAACTTGGAATGCCTGGCTCTCGGATTGCCATGATTGGTGTATTTCGCGCCAGCTATGGTGGGGGCATCGCATTCCTGCATTTTTGGTTTGGCTGAAGTCGCCACATTCTGACCAATTTAAGAATCTTGATGTAAGCCAATTTTTAGTGTTTTGTCTCTGACTTGTTGTTGCTCGTTACTAGGGCTGGCGCTCTCTGGTCATGCCGATTAGACATATGCCAATGAATCAAGTCAACGGTCCGATGGAAATTATAATTACTACTATGACAGAGGGCATCTTAACCTGCGATAATGAGATCAGCTCATTTATAAACAGTTAAAGGATACTGCAACAAAATCTAAGGCTACAACATCTTAGTCTTCATGTCTATTTTCATTTTTGTTGTATTTTAGACTTGTATAAATGTTATTTGACATACTTAATCTTTTAAGGCCTTTTTGTTAGCTTTCATAATAGCTTATATAGGCATGCTTCCAACTCTCCAGAATAAACGTATGAACTAGGCAGGAGGTTTTCAAATTTTGAGCAGGACTATATTCTACATTCCTTATTCCTACCTAAAATAAACTTGCTTAAAATTCGCCAATTGGATCCAAGTTGAATTCTGCTAGCTATCTGGCCGGAAACACATTGTGCTAACATTAAATTTTTTTCATAATTTTGTTACCCCTTATATAGCCGGCAGAGAATAGTTCCTGGGTAGTAGCGCGAAACGAGGAGGAGGCACTGGAGCGCGCGATCGTACAGTTTTCTGTACCTGCCTCTCAACTCAAACTCACAAGGGACAATGATGTTCTGGACACATGGTTCTCCTCGCAGCTATTCCCATTTTCCACCTTGGGCTGGCCCGATCCCACATGTTTTCCTGACGTCTTTCCACCCGGAGACCTCGAGAGTTACTATCCTGGCAGTCTTTTAGAGACTGGGCATGATATCATCTTTTTCTGGGTTGCTAGGATGGTTATGATCGGCCTACAATTGATGGGTCGTCTTCCGTTTCACACGGTTTATCTGCATGCTATGGTGCGTGATTCACATGGCAAGAAAATGAGCAAGTCTCTTGGAAACGCTTTGGATCCAATGGATGTGATAAATGGGATCTCGCTAGCTGGTGAGGTATATTT